AATGGACCTTTTACTGGACCTTATAGAAATGAATTGATTAATCATTGGACTGAAAAGGTAAGGGAAGCATAAATTCCAGTATCTGAGAAATTCACTTTAGTAGGCACTTTAGGAGATCCATTATAATTGAGAGATTGGACAATTCATAAATTACCAAGTGATTCTGTTTCTTAAGAGAATTCTATTCTTGCTACTTAAGGTTATAGATGGCCTTTGATGATTGATCCACAATAATAAGCAAATAATTGGATAAAGAGTTCATTTTAAGATCTTAAATTGAAAGTAGTTAAATTTTCAGATCCTAAATTTTAATCTGATATGAGATTATGTATTACAAATGGATATCCAATTTTAATTTAAGATATTGAAGAGAATTTGGATCCTTCAATTGAAACTATATTATAGAAATAATACAAAGAGGCAGATGGTCGTGTTTTGATTAAATTTGGTGATGGTGATATAGATTTCGATAAAAATTTCAAATTATTTATAACAACAAAGATACCAAATCCAAAATATTTACCAGAAGTATTTATTAAAGTTACAGTGATTAATTTTACAGTTACTTTTGAGGGTTTAGAAGAATAATTATTAGCAGATGTGGTTAGATTAGAAAAAGAAGAGATTGAAATTCAAAAGGATGAGAATGTCATGAAATTAGCTTAATATCGTAAGATGTTGAGTGAATCAGAAGCTATGATCTTAAAACAATTAGCTGAAGCAGATCCAGAGAAAATTTTAGATAATGTAGATTTAATTACATCATTATAATCTGCAAAAACTACAAGTGAAGAAAGTAATATAAAAATTGAAGAATCTGTTGTATTAGAAAAAACTATAGAAAGAGTACGTAATGAATATAGATCAGTAGCAGTAAGAGGTTCAGTATTATATTTTGTAATTAAAGATTTAAATCTTATTGATCCAATGTATTAATACTCCTTACAATATGTTTAAGTGATGTTTAATTTGGCTATGAGATAGGCATTACCAGCTGAAGAATTATAATAAAGATTATCAAATTTAATTGATAGTATAACAAAAGTGATTTTCACTAATGTATGCAGAGGGTTATTTGAGTAGCATAAATTAATTTATTCATTTTTGATTGCAGCTTAAATTAACAGAAAATCAAATAAAATATCAGATGGTCTTTGGAGTTCATTTTTAAGAGGTGCAGGTGTCATTGAAAAATCTAAATTACCAGCTAATCCTGATAAAGTATTAATTGGAGAATCATCTTGGGAATTAGCTGCTTATTTGGATCTTAATTTTGAAGTGTTTAGAGGTTTATGTTAACATATATAAAAAAATATGGCTGCATGGAAAACATACATTTAGTCATCTGATCCTTTGGTAGTTAAATTAGAAGAACCATATTAAAGCAAATTAGATGAATTTGAAAAAATGATGATTATAAAGATATTTAGAAGTGAAAAAATATTATTTGCTCTTTCAAGTTATGTTGAATAAAATATTGGCAGATTTTATTTGGAATCCCCAAATACAACAATGGAAACATTATATAATGATTCGGATGTTTCAACCCCAATAATATTTGTATTATCATAGGGTGCAGATCCAACATCATAAATTTTGAAATTTGCAAAGGAAAGAAACTTTGAAGAGAATTTAGCTATTATCTCGTTGGGATAAGGCTAAGGAAAGATTGCAACTAAATAAATTAATGATGCCACTTAATCAGGAGGTTGGGTTTTATTATAAAATTGTCATCTTGCAAGAACATTTATGCCAGACTTAGAAAAATTAGTAGATGAAATTACAGCCAAAAAATCAACCATTAATCCTAGTTATAGATTGTTCCTCACTTCTATGCCTGCTTCCTATTTCCCAGTAAGTATATTATAAAATGGAATCAAATTAACAACAGAACCACCTCGAGGTTTGAAAGCTAATTTAAAAAGATCTCTTTAAGATATTTCTAATGAATTTTTGGATACAGCATCAAAACCAGAGATTTATCATAAATTGGTTATGGGATTATGTTATTTCCATGCCATTATTTAAGAACGTAAGAAATTTGGTCCTTTGGGATGGAATATCAAATATGAATTTAATGATAGTGATCTTGAAACTTCAAAGACAGTTATTAAAATGCTTTTAGGTGAAAATGATACTGTACCTTGGGATGCTATGTTATATGTGAGTGGTAATATCAATTATGGTGGTAGAGTAACTGATGATTGGGATAGAAGATGTTTAATGACTATTTTGAGGAAATTTATATGTAATGAAGTATTGGATGATAATTATGTTTTTTGTGAAAATAATACATACAGAATACCTGAGAAAAGTGTAGTTGAAGATTATATTAAATATGTTGAATCTTTACCTATGACTGATGATCCTGCAGTTTTTGGCATGCATGAAAATGCCAATATCACATTCTAATTAAGAGAAAGTGATTCAATTTTAGAAACTATCTTATCTATATAACCAAGAGAAGGTGGAGGATCTTCAGAAAAAACACCTGATTAAATTGTATTAGAGCTTGTTAAAAGTATTTAAGATGATCTCCCTCCTCTTTTAAGTAAAGAAGAATCTAATAAAGAATTATGGTAAATTAATCCAGA